GCTATGAAAGCTAACCAGGAAGAAACCTTATACTGGATTAGTTACGGGAAAGAATTTGTAATTCAATATAATGATTTATAACAAATATTACGAATAACTAAACCCTTTTCTTATTATATATGATCCCGCGATAAGAACAAATCACAAATAGGACTTAAATGGGCCATAAGAGGAAAGAGTATAACATTATTTATCAGTAGTTTTATTCAAATTCATATGTTGCAGGGTTTTGGAATTCCAGATCATCGAGATCGTTAACTTTTTCACTTCGTAGCGTAGTAGCGATCGTCGAATCTAAGGGGGTTAATTTACCTAAAAACTGTAGAATAGATCTAGTGTTTAGAACTTATACCCGAAACGGAGTTGCTTTGTTAAGTGTGGTCCAGCTTGTATTAGGGTAACGCAATTACTAATCATATAACTTTTTTTCTAGCAAGTTTTTTAGATCTAGCAAATGAACAGTATAAAAATAAGCGGATTTCCCTCATAAGGTGAGTTAAGCAATAATGTTATTTTTTTGCTCATATTTTTTTTTACTTGACTTACTTGCCCGTAATTTATTTTTAAAGTAACTTTGTTATTTCATTTAACGGAATCTATAAAGACGAATTTTTACTTATCATGATTTTTCTCGTATTCAGGTACAAAAAAATGAGCGATAGTACCACCTCCAAGACCAACAATACTCCCAAGACCAATGATAACACCACTTCCAAGACCAATGATAGTAATGCCCCCAAGACTAATGATTCCAATCCAGAAAGCAATCAAAAAAAGCTATCTGGTATGGGTATAATTGTTGATTATCAAATTCTATCTAGTTATCTGAGTATCAATCCCATAACATTTTCAAAAGTAATAAAACCTCAAGGCTACTATGGCTTTTGATTTTTTATTTGTATTTGTATTATTTTATTTGTATGTTCCCATTCTGGCAAAAAAAAATTTTATTAAATAAAGAAAGGGGCCTGTGACCTTCCCATGTTTTATTTTTACATGATTTTTATGAAATAAAGAGTGACATGGCATGTTGAACTATTATTACTTTACCTCTAAAATTATGCATATTCAATAAGGGCTAAAGATTTATTTTTTAATTCTTTTTTGTGTAGAGTAGTGGGGACTCCCATTTTAGCCTCAAAGTTTTTCTTGTGTTTTAAGAAATCTACTTCAGACATACTTTCTCGTTCTTTCTTCCAGTATTTGGTATTATCTTAGAATTCAAAGACGATATTGCTTTCCATTTATCTAATATTTTCTTTGACATTTTGAACTTTTGCTGTAAATGAAGGATGAGAATATCTATATCTGATTCATTTCTGATAAGAATTTCTTTAGCTTCCTCACTTACATTAGTCTCTTGTTTCGAATCTTGATTGTTTTCTTAGGACTTTGTCTCTTTGATAAGTGTACTTGCAATTTTGGTTGCATGATTTTGGTGACGGGCTATCGTCGAAATTTCTGTGTTAGATTTATTATAATTAGAAATACTATCGATAATCTTTTGAATTTGTTCATTAGTCAAGTCAGAAATAGAATTTGCACTATATACTTTAAGGTATTTAATTTTATCTATACCTATTTTTTTGAATAATTTATAAGTCTTTATGGCTCTTTGAGTCTTTTTACATAAGGTTTTACGTGAAATTTCTAGGAGTTGTATTCCCATTTCCTTGGACTTTTTTTCACGGATAATAATGAGATGCTCTAATATTTTATCATAAATTATACCTTTAGCTTTTTTCTTGCCCATTTTTTTATTACTATTTTTTATAAAATCATTATATTGAATTACAAATTCTTTCCCGTAACTAATCCAGTATAAGGTTTCTTCCTGGTTAGCTTTCATAGCATAATATTCAGCATCAGTTGCTTTATCAAATAATTGTGCTAAGTCGAGTAATGGGGTTGTAGAACAAATTTGATACGAAATTTTAGTCATATTATTTGAGGAAACCAAGCTTCGAATCTCTGACTCATCTGAAAGGATATTATCTTGAATACCATTAGCTATTACTTGAATGATATCCTCTGTTCCTTTTTTCTTATGTGATTTATCCTGATTTCAATTCAAAAGCTTTTTTACAGTTTTTGAGTTCAAAGATTCAGGCACATTAATATTAGAAACTGGAGGTGTTGACATAGTTGATACTTCAGATATTGGTGAAGTTGAGTTATTAAGTGATCCTTGAAGTTTCTTTTCTCTGTTCTTCTTTATCATTATGTCACTAACTTCTTTTTTACTTTGCATATCTAAGAAATCATTTATTTCCTTATCTTTTAATGATTTAGGCTCTGTGCGGATAGTGTATTGAGTTAAAGATTCCTGATACACATCAGAATTTGAAGTGTTATCAGATATATTAAATGCTAGGGCACCCTCACTTCGTAAGATTACCTGTTCAAGAATACTATTAGAATTTATTGGAGACTGCGAAATACTAGTAAAAATTTTTTCTTTATTTCTCTGTTCTAGATTCGTGATTCTGGTTTCATGTTCTTCCAAAGCTTGCTTTAACTTCATATTATCAGCTTTAATCTCAGTATTTTCGGTCTTAACTTTCGCATTCACAACTTTAAGTTCGATATTCTCAGCTTCAACCTCAGCAAACTTCTTTCTAAGTTTGTCAATTTTAGATACAAGCCTAGAATTCAATTCTTTCAATGAATCAATTGTGGATTGTGCGCTTGTCATTGCTTTATTTAAAATATGAATATATTCAAAAGTTTGTTTATCTTCTTTCTTTTACAAGCTCAAGATCAGAATATAGTTATGTTATCTAACAATTTTTTATCTTTAATATATCTACTTACTGACATGAATGTAATAAATTATGCAGAATTCTTTCTGGCATTTTTTAAATTATAACTTTATCTATATAGTATGAATCTCATGAAATTTCTGCAACATCTTCACGAAAAATCTTGCCAGAAAAAAATTCTCGATAAAAGTTCAGCTGGTTTAATTAGTTAATTTCAGATTGCATGTTTTAGTGATAGATTGTATTTATTAATACGTAACTAAAGTAGCAAAAATTTCGGCGATGGCCCATCCGTCAAAAATATAAACTTTATTAATAATGGAGTTACGTTTGATATTTTTCATCGTCATATGCATATAGAATTTTAGTATCTATTTTTTTAATCTGATATGGGGAATAGTTTTATAAACTTAAACTATTATTTAGTAATACAAAAAGTTAATTTGGTCGTAGACCAGCAATTGTAATTCTGACAGGTTTTGGTGAAGGGGTGGACACTCTACCGTAGGTAGAACATGATGGAGAATTAGGCGGGGTATTGGAAGCGATTACCGTTAAAACTTTAGAAATACGATGCTTAAAATCATGAAAATAAAGATGTTAAACAGTTGCAACAACTGTGATAAATAATTATTATATTAACCACTTACTTTGATATTATAAAATGCCTCTAATACAGGCACCAAATTTAAAAATTGTGCATGTTCTATTGGAGTAATTACGTTTGCAATTAAAATCATCCTATATACTCCATCGTAATTCAAATCCATTTCATAAATACGAATTCGTGCACCTATGAACATAGCCAAATTTTAGATAGTAATAGTGATACATTAAAAGTTAAACCAGGTTTACACTTACCACATACTCATATACCTAAAGAAATTATGCCAATTCTGTTTCCGTATTTCTTGATTAAATCGTTTAAAGCATCTGCTTGGAAGTTAGCAAGCTTGACTAGATCTTTTTTTGTCGATATTGATAATGAGTCCTTGGGCTTTACTTCTCCAAAGAGAATTTCATCTCCCTTATTACTCATAAGCTTGAAATTGGGCTTTTTACATTTGATTATGTTTTCCTTGTTTGAGGCGGAACTCTTACTGTTCGCCCTTTTAAATCAAACACCAGAGATTATATAGAAAATACTTCAATAAGAAAAAATTATATATTTATAAACAAAACTCTTATCAGACTAATTCAAACATTGAATCCCGAAAAATTTCTTTGATTAAATCATGTAAAACGTCATAGACAAAGGTGTCCTCATTATCGTTATTGATAGATTTTAGTAATAAACTATAAAAAGTTAGTATTTCATCAATTATAATGGTTTTACAAATAAAACACCTACAAGTTTCGTAAAATAATTTGACATTTGCAGAAATTATCTTTGTCCTCTTTATTATTCAACTCTGCGATTCTGGAAAAATTTTCACACCATTTTTCTTGGATTTTATCCGGTGGAGTGAAAGAATTTAACAACTAGAATGGAAAAGGATACTTAATGTCAACTTCTGCGGTAGTGTCGTAATGAATATCAATCTATTAATAAGAAAATTAAACCTTACCAAAGAATATTCTAAAATTATACTATTAACTACTGACGATAAACGTGGATATGTTTGTCTTTGGCAAACTTTATTCCAAATCTCATGATTGCAAGTAAGTTATGCTGGTTTTGTTGATTCAATCAATATTACGTTTGAGAGGCATCTGTTTATCACAAAAAAGAATAATAAATATAATATGATAGACAAGAAAACTCGCAATTCAGAATAAATACAATGCATACAGGATTTTTTGAATATCTTGTTTATAATATAAATACAACTTTTCTTTGACTTGTTGAATCGTTGACTGTTGAAAATTCCAAAACTCACTAGAGATATTATAACCTTCAAGAATCTACTAAAAAGCACATAAATATAGCTAATTAATGTATGGTGAATACAACAAAGCATCGACCACATTGTGTACTCACATCCTTTTTAGAAGTATTTTTGAAATCAATCTTATTAATTGCATCTTCCCATGAATAAAGAATCTTAAATGTTCGTTTCTTGATATCATAATATTCAGGGTCAATATCTATATATGTAAATATATATATGTAAGTTAGATTTTCTCAAAAATGTGCAAAAACTAAGATACTTTATTACCTTCTTCACGATCAAAGTCAGAAGACGGAGCAGATGATGATGAATGCAAATTATTATTCCCTTTATTCATTTTCGAATCTGCTGACTCTAATATTGATCTATCATCTATAATTTTTCCAGAATATGCAACGTTAGTAGTATTACTTCTGCCATCATTTTCAAGTGATACATTTGTTAAATCTTTTTGCTTGATTTTATCATATATAATATGTCAGTTATCTGCACAATTTAATTTGATATTTGATTTACAAAACTATACATGAACTAGACTCACCCTTTTGGTTGACGTCATTTCTTCTTCTCTGTCAATTTGGTGCTTGGATCTCCGTGATTCTAACAGGTAGCTGGAGTATATCGTCTTCTCTTTCCTTACATCTTCATTTAGCGATGCATGATATTCATGCTATGCAAATAATTCATATCATTATTAGAGCAAAATACCAGAAAGTTAATATCATATTCCTGACTCACCTCTGCGGTTTCTTCATTTTTTGCTAATTCATTAAGGTTGGCTAACCACTTTTTTTCCATTTTTTTGTCAAGCTCAAAAAGGAATATGAAATGAAAGCAAGATAAAATGAGGTTAATTAATGGTCTCAATAAAATATATACATATATTAACAATCGATCGTGCGACGAGGAAACCCAGAGTGGCGCGAGGACACCCGTATAGTATCGATGCTTTGTTTAATAGAGCACAATAGTAATAACACGACAAGGAAACCCGGAGTAGCGCGAGGATACTCCGTATAGTATTGACCTGGCTGAAAGCCAAGCTATGTTGTTAGCAAGTTATGCTCATTTGTATACAAAATATACTAACCTTGAACGATCCTTTTAGTGAAATTACCTTTGAGCGCTTCAAAGGATCATAATTTTGTTCGATAAAATCCAGACACTTCTTATACTTATAATTATAGACTTTTACGGGGTTAGATAGAAGCAACCTTTTGTCAAGCGTGTAGCGAATAAAGCTTGAGTAGGACCAACTATCAACAGTATATTCGTCGAAATAATCAGAGTAAGGAATAAGTTTTTCTTTTGACATATTGTATGAAATGATATTTGCATTCGCGAAATTGATACACATAGTATGATAAATATGCATGCGCCAAATAGAATTTCACTAAGTCTTGTGACAATCAAAATCACATGTCCAAAATTTTGGCGACGGCCCGTCGTCAAAAATAATTTTCAAAATCACATAAATCACATACGTAACATTACACAAAAAAATAACACGATATATTGATGATTGATTCGTCACAAATCTTACACCCGTGCTTCCACCCTCCTGTCTACTTACAAGTTCGTGTCCAGATAAGTATAGTTTGCTTTTTTCTGTGAAATCAGAAACATATGTGGCAGAGTTGATTGACTGCTAACGCTAATTCCAGAAAAATGAAAAATGGCACTTTGTACCTCATAGTCGGACATTCGTATGATTGGCTGGTGTAAATCAATTGCCCAGGTAACTTATTTATACACTTTAAAGTACTTTTTGAGAACATAACGTTTCACTAACAAAAAACTATCGTAAATATTACCAATATGTGCGGAAGAGTGTCAACGTTCTTAGGTAAAAATAATCAAAAAATAATCAAGAAACTGGAGAACTTCACTTAGAAGTGAATATTTTACTATTAATTACCTACTCTTTACTATATTAACTGTATATAAGTGTTAAAGACCCGAAATTGTTAACCAAAAAAGACTAAAAAAAACAATCAAGAGGTAAGTTTTACGTAATAAAGAGCTTTTTATTGCCGTTTAATTTATTATGTTAAGAATAAATATTAATACTTTATGTCTTGCGTATAAGATTTTATAGGAATTAGTTCGTTAGATCTGGCAGCGTACAGGCTTTTTTTGTGTGGATTTAAGTATTTAGTATGTCTATTACTCAGGTTTGGTTTGTTGTTATATTAATATTCCTGGGCTACAAAGTTAGACTATTGTAGTTTTTAAATTTATTTGGTTCTTGTAGTACTGTATATTGTGTTTTTCAATCATAAATTAAAAGATTTGGTTTATATCTCGTAGATTCGGTTTATATCTCGTAGATTCTTTAATGAATTCGGGTTTGCATATTAGTAATAAATATCACATTTACCCACTTTGCATGTATCAGTCTATTCTTTAAATACTTGTGATCAATCTTTTTGCGTATATTTATTAGTTTGTAAGTTTTTTTATACAAAGTTTTTTTTTGTTTCTAATAGTATTAAAACGATAAATTGTCTTAAAAATTATGTAATTTGATTGACTAATTGTAACGGATAATCACGGGTAGATCTACAAAAATCAACCAATCATATGAATGTCTGCCCATGACTTTGTACCTGTATCCCCGTAACATAAATAAATTATGCATAACGATAAGGCTTATAAGGTGATACAAATAAATTACGCATACGTATGTAAATAAAATGGCATTTACAAATAGCATTTATAATACGCAAAAAATCTTATTATAAATGAATAAAAATTTATTATAAGAGAATGTGAACCGAGTTCACAACGTCACATGCTTACAGCAGTAAATATTTATTTATTTTGCGAATTTGCCTTCAGCGCTGAAAGTGGGATTTTTTATATTATAGTATAATAGATACCGGTACATAATAACTACAACTACCGATTTATAAATTTTAAACTATCGTTATCGTTATTGTTAATTAATTATTCGAAATTTCCTTATGTAGAAAATTATCGCATTCACATCGCTTATATATTCCATCTACTACTTTTTTGCATGTTTTGCAATACAGGTGTGAATGATGATTGCATTCGTCACAAACCTTACACCCATGCTTCCACCCTCTAAAGATATGCCACTTTTCGATGTAATTTTTCCTGTTTTTATATGCATTCTGATTTTTCATTTTGATATATTAACGTAACTAAAATTTCTTTGAAAAAATCAATGTGTCATGATCCATTATTTCAAAAAATGGCACTTTATACCTACACTCCGTATCATAAATAAATTATGCATAGAGTCATAACATAGGTTGTACAATAAGTCAAAAATAAATTATGATATACGATATGGTAGGGTTATAATTTTATTTTGCGAGCAAATTTTTGCAACCAATTTTATCTTTTTATCTTTTGACGGGTTTTACACAACAAAAAACTATGTAATTTTGATATAATCAATACTTAATGTTAAAACAAAATTTTTATTAATTTTGGTGACTTCATGTATTTTAGCTGTTCTGGTTCCACTGACCGATCGGTCAACCAAAGTCACGTGATTGTGGCGCAGTAACGATGATCTCATTCAAACTCCTCTTCTATAGCATCAATTTCGTCCTAACTTAATTTGGAAATTCTCAATGCCGAATAAGATCTTACCCATTGTATTTTATCCTCACCTATGCTACTAAAAAGGTCATAAATTTTCCTTGCTCTTTCTATTCTTTTCTCAATTGCATTTTTTGAGAGGTTAGATAGGAGCTGTTTTTCAACTTCTTTATAAAGTTTTCTCTGAGATCTATGCTCTTTATTATCTTTCATATACTCGGCTAATCTTTCCTTAAGCTTTTTTCCAAAAGCAAAATAGCATATAATAATTTCTTGATTCACACTTTCAATTCATTCTTCAGCCTTAACAATTGCACTATATAAATCAGAAAAATTACTTGGGCTTGTGATAGATTCAGCCTAAGAAGTGGTACTACTTGTTGAAGAACTTGGCGATTTCAGCTCCTCAATAAGTTTTTTTAATATAGATACATTTCTGTCTTTAGTCTTTACTTTCTTACTGGATAATTTATTTTCAGGGGTATCTTTACTAGGTCTTTTACAGGATTCTTTTTCTAAAGGAATAATGCTTTGGTCTGTTGGATGATTACTTTCACCATCTTCATTATCATCTACATCTGACATATCTTCTTCTATAATTTCTGACAAATCTTGAGATTGGATACTATGTTTTTCCATCCTTCTAACTACTGATGATGTACTTGATTCAGAGCCCCTTCTATGCCCCGTTTCAATAATTTCAACCTCCTTACTACAACCAGAAAATGAACACGTATTTGGAATTGTAAGTAAAAGTTTTTTTTCAATACAAAGTCTATGAAATACATGTCCACAAGATAGTGTTGTAAATGCCTTAAGAGGAAACGAAATAATTTCTTTCCCACATTCCGAACAATTACTTAGATTTGGAATTTTTTTACTCTTAATAATACCATCCTTGAAGGTTTTTAGAATATTATATGCGAGATTTTTGATGTTATTAATAGGAGTAGATGGTGCAGAAGTGGAAGTGGTAGACATATTTCAATTATAACCAGATAAGTTTTACATAACGAAATCTCTTATACTTTGCTTATTTTTATAGTTTATTCTTCACGACTAACAAACCTAATTTGCAGATTTTATAAAATCTCATTTAGGATTTGGCGATCTATTCATTCAGAATTAATTAGTATGGGGGAATCGCTTGATCTTTGCTAGCAATCGTGGATAAAAAATTTAGCTTAAGGGTAGACCCAAAGGGTCATTGCTCTGCAATAGGGGCAGTTAATGAGTTGGTTAGTACCGAAATACTTCTATGCTGATCTCCGATTCGTAGATTTAAAATACATGATATTGCTCCCTTGAGGCCCATTATAACATGATGTGATTTACTTCACTTTGTGGCTATATATAAGATCATCAAGCTCGATAATTAACTTTACCTTTTACTTTATGCTTTCGAATAGGGCGTTTCTTTACTGCTCTAGTCTTATGCGTATGTGTAACTTCTATTTCTGAACTAGATATGGAAGAATTACTTGAATCGCTGTCTGAAGTGTCTGAATTAGAAGAAGCATTTGTGGAATATTTGACATTATTTTTCTTACTCTTATTTTTGAAAACATTATCATTTAATCTTCTGGATAGTAGATGTGTAGAAGGTATGTTGCAAAGCAATGACCCTTTGGGTCTATCTCTAATATTTGAGAGAATTTTGTTAATTATATTCATAACCTCTTCTTGAGCTAGACCAGGTTTAGATTCCGTTGATTTAGATAAATTATTTTTAGTGAAGCTGGCTTTGTTAAAATCTTCATCGAATAACGGGATGCTCATACCATCTATTACAATTTTAGCATAGCGGACATGGGTTTTGGGAGAATGTCCAAAGCTTATTTTTGCTTCACGCATCCATAACCAATCTTGCCCCAACACTAGATCGAATAATGGATTTTTGTGAATTTGAAAGTCTATTAGTTCAGTATCACCTAAACTTTGCCACTTTCTTTTAATGTGAAACTGTAAATCTAAGCCTTTTATTTCTTCACCTATCAGATCATCACTAACTATACCTTCTAATCCATGATCAGATTCAAGCTTATCGAATAAGTGTTTGCTAATAGTATTATATTTAGATGTTGTATCAATTAACGCTTTTACTAGGATTTTTCTTCTACAAGTATATTGATGAATATGTTAAATATGTTTAATGATGTATATTATAACCAAAAAATAATATTTATTCTGAATTTTATTATGTATTAATATAATAAATAATAGCAAAGCTAGTACCAGGGTACATATTACGATACGATATTGATTATGAATAAAACTACATTAGAAAATAATCATAAATCTCGAAATGGTAATAGTATAATATCTCGCATTATTAAACAAGTGTCAAATAAAAAAATTTAGATCTCTTTCTGTCAATTACTAAAAATAGTGAAACCTGAGATTCAGCAGGATATTATAAACTCAATAGCAAACCCAGATATTTCTCAGAAAAATTGTACACTATCTGAGGCTAAAAGAAAAAAAACAATTTTTAATGATACCGCATTTGAGTCCTTGTCTGAATCTAGGTCCGGCTCTGAATCCTTTTATGATAATAAAGATTTTACTATAGATATGATAAAAGTGAAGAAGTGCAATTAATTTTGATCATAGATATGAAATCGTTTTGTTTGCTCATAAGGAACACCTCTTTTTCTATAATTGACTACAACATAATTTTGCACAGGAGAAGTATGATTATCAGATAAATGACATAGACATTCTTCAGCAATTGTATAAGCGTGGACCATATTCTTAGCCTCATGTGCTACTGCACCGTAAACTGCTCCTAATTTACGTAAATATTTAGGAATTAAATCATAATCTTTTAAGAATTTATTGAACCATTTAACTCCTAGCTTACCTGGATCACCTATTCGTTCAGATGATATAGCACACTGAATCCAAGTGAGTAGTTCTTTGGCTTGTTCTTGAGTCTTTTCCATCGATCTAAATTTTCTAGGAATATCTAGCTGACCTCGATTCTTCGCATATCCTGTCACTTCAGCATCTGTAATACGTAAAGTTTTGAGTTTAGCAGGACGAATACAAAGCATCACCATAACATCAGCAAGAGCCTGACAATCAGGTAAAGTTTTAATATTATACGTATCTAATCTTTCTTTGACTGATTCTAATGTAAATTCATCTGGATAATCGATACGTTTAGCTTCAGCTTTTTTCCGAATGACACTCTAGATTTTGTTGGCATCTTCTGTAATATCTAAAAATTTTGTAACCTCAATTATCTCAAGTAATGCATTAAGATTCCTTAATTCTCTACAAAGACAAGTGAGATGTGATGAGCCAGCATTAGCATTTTTTGCTGATAGGGCTAAGGCATAAGCTTCAGCTCTTACATCTCTAATGCTAAGTTTATCCTGTAAAATCTATTGCGCTATATCTTCAATTGTTTCTTCCTCCATTCCTTTAGAGAGTTAATTGGCGATTACAATATTTATGTTTTTATCTGAGGTAGTTACACTATGTCTACTTTCGTTTTTCAGGATTGTGAATAAGGTATTTACTTGATCTTCACTAAACCTATATCTATTTTGCAAGATTTGTTTTGCTTTCTCTCTGACGATCTCTTCTTCTAAACTTTTTGAGGGCTTGGTTATTGCTATTCTACAATTACTTTCAACCAAATTTATAGTTTTATTTTTCCTACTTCTCTAATTAGGTATCAATATATCTACCTGTTCACTGCTAAATTTAAAACCATCTCGAAGGTATCTGCGAGCCTGATTCCACTTCTTATTATCGGTAAGGTTTTTAAGAAATTCTGACGTATATTAACTGAGATCAGATATACTCATCTTAGAGCTAAGATTGTATTTTTCAATGATTTTAGTTGTAATAGCTAACATGATTGAATGTTATAATAGGTCAGATAGTTTATTAACAATTCTTTAGGTTATATACACTATGGAAAATATCTTTTCAAATTGAAATTAATTATGCTTTTTTCCTTATATACTCAGAAAAAAGAGAGTTTATGTCTACCTACAGGGTAACTAGGACATCGATTTGAAATTTACTATTATATGGAATATAATGAAAAAATATAGCCTAGAGATAGAGGTCCAGGTTATATTAAGATTTATGATTCATTTTTCTATTATTCAGTACACCTATCCAAATAAATTCTGGCACGATTCAACAGTTATAAGATATTTGTGATATATGTTCAGTCTGTTTTGTAATATTTTGGGTGGTAGTATTACTGCTGGTTTCTATATATTAAATAAGAAAGTTGTGTAATCGGAACAACCATAATCGATATGTTCAGATATTTCTGAGTAATTCGATAAATCGCTAACATATCTATATCCATTGCGGATTAATTTATAGAATGTTGGTCCATTCTAATTTATTATCTGGTCAGTTAATAGGTTAAGTACTTTTTCTGAAGTTTTTTTTATTTTGTTTACAGTATATATAGAGCATGAAAATATATTGTTTTTGTAATATTTTTTATCTAAAATTTTATATTGACCATATATAGAGATGAAAAAACCCCCTATCTAAGTCTTCATCCATAAAACTCGCCTTATTCACCTCTTTTTATCGGAATTGGATATATTTATATAACTTACTATAGATATCTATTTTCTTCGAGTTTCGTTATACTTTTTTCCCATTCTTTACCATCATAAATACATATATATAATCAGAATTCACCATCATCTTCATACATCTAAAGCTTAATCTCCATACATATCAATTTTTCTCACCTAGACAATTCTATATATTCCTCTAGATCATTCCTATCTTTTCACGCAAAATCGATTATATTCGCATCTGCTATCATTTTATCTCGGAATATCTTCACTAAGTCTCTATTCTCTTCAGTTATAGTCATGAACTTATCTGGGTCTTCGCCATATTTAATTACAGTTTCTCTTAAATACGTCTTCCTTTCTGCTCGGGATATATATCCAGGTAGATATGTTTTCGATTGGGTGCTAGCTTCTTCATTATTGGTCTTAGACTTATCATTCACTAATGAGACATAGCCTCGAATCTCTGGTTCTTCAATGATCTTAGGAGAAGGTTCTGTTTTATCATTCATGAATTCTAAGTATTCGATCTCAGGAGTCATGGATATATCAGTAGTCTTGGATAATGAAGCAACTGAATATTCCAATTGACCTGTTATATAATCGAAGAGATTCTGGGTTATATTAGTAACTGCTGGAATAGGTATGGGTGATGAATTCTTGCCTTTTTCAATGCAATCTGTGGTTGATGTCTCAGCTATATTTTTTTCTAGTTCGAGGGGTTTATTTCTGGTACGTAGAACATAGGTATATCTGTAGATTCGTTGGCGAGTGTCTCAGGTTAAGGTGCATCAGAAAATTCTTCGATAACTACTATCAATTTATGCAATTTAGCTAAAATCTTGGATCAGTCAAGGATATATTGCCACTCTCTCTTTCTACCACTAGCACATTTATTTTCGATGTTAATATGTGTAAATTTTTTACCTAATATATTATTACTAAATAGTTTCTCACCATTAGCTTCACACCATGCCCAATACTCTTGATATATTATCATACGACTTTGTATCTCAACTCGATCCTCAGACTATGGCGAAATACGATCAATTATAAATTGAGTAGAGCTGAGAAGATGCTCCAGTATTGTATCTGTTTTCATTTTAGTATTGGGAATATCTTGTGGGTCCCAATTTGAAAGATCACGATTAAGAAGATATGACATAACTATCTCTGGTGTGTCAGGATGTTCTAGTATTTTAGCCAAACGTTTGAAATATGGTATATTCACTCTACAGCATGCAGATACATCAAAACAAACTATATGAGCATCTCCTGCATCTATTTTAAGCAGGGCATCCTGGTTGCTTATAACTATAAATGCTGAGTAATCTTTTAAATGAATAGATTCAAGACCTTTACATTCTATAGACACTTTTGGTTCTGTTATAAGGGATTTGAAATAACTATTGAATTTATACTATTTTCCATCAGATATATTGGTCTCATTCATAACTACTAGCTTTTTACCTTGAATAAGACTGTTGAATTTTCCAAGAATTTTTCCTAGATCAGATGTTGCATAATAGAGCTTTGGTCCTAAGACTTTATCACCAATAAAATCAATAATAATATTTTTTCTACATTGTTGAAGAGTAGACTTTAATACACATATTGAACGAGGTTTCTTTTCCGGTTTTTGTATTAAATATGCCTACTAGTTCCAGATATAATTGTTAAGCTTTTCATTTTCATCAGAGATTACATTTTTTACATGCCAGAGGATAGGATCTATAATTTCTTTTTTAATTTCTAGTGCTGGTTTAGCTGTAAATCCCAAGAAAAGATTAAAGAAATTTGTTTTTAGTAGAATTGTGTTTGGTAGGTATAGAAGAAAGTTTATTTTGCGATAACGAATTAGACCTTTGGTAACTATTTGATCTATTAATGATCTTAACTTTATCGATTCCCCTCCAAATTCGACTATATTAATTTCATAATTAGCAAGTTCTAGTTTAGACACAAATTCAAAGGTAAGTTCGCCATCCTCATTTTCATCTTCAACTTTACAACCAAACTTCTTTATAAATTGAATCCTAACTTAAAAAAAGGAATCTTAACTTCTCACAAAATCCAAAACTCTTCTACAAAAAAATCCTAGAAAAACCTAAAAATAATATCTTAGTTGACAGACTACACTCACAAAATTCTCTTCTAACTAACTTAACAAAAATAAAACAAGCATTTTACTAACACTTTCAGAAATATTTTTAAAAACTTCTATCATTACTACTAACTCCAAAATCAGAATTTTATAACTTATACAAACCAAACACAAAAAATGAAAAATATTTTTAAAAATTATTAGATAATATTACTTTAGATAAATTCCAAAATACTATCAAACAACTTCTAAACCAAAAGATTATAGATCCTTCTGAACTAAACTATAAACAAATTAAACATTTAAATTCTAAAAGTCTTACTACACTTTGTCTCTTTTTATCTAAATACTTCCAACTACAAATAGTACCTACTGACTAGAAAACTTCAAATATATTTCTAATTCTTAAAAAATCTGAATAGAACTATATCCTAAATCAAATCTGACTAATCTTTCTTATTAAATCTATAAAGAAATATTTAACAAAAATTTTTACAAATCACTTAATCAAATTATATTCAAATACAACTTTCTTAACAATCTAAACTTCACAGCTACAAAAAACTCTTCCACACACATACCAATTCAAATTCTTTACAACATAATCGAATACTACAAAAATATAAAGTATGAAGCATGGATATTATTTTAAGATATATATAAAGCTTTTGATAAAATTAATCTAAACTAATTAATGAATGCATGCAAAAGAATTAATATCCTACAAAATACTCTAAACCTTATTTATAACCTCTACTTAAACTACAAAGCTAAAATTATTATTATTTATAGCCTTACAGAGCTAATTATTCTTTTTTCAGGAATAGAATAAGGAAAACATACTCACTACTTCTTTGAAAAATTTATTATGATTCTATTTTAACTTTTATTAATAACAAATACCAAAACAGTTTTCTCCAAATCAAATTCTCATCTCCAATTGATTAAATTTTTAACCAAAACTCATCTTTACTTACAATACATATTCAAGTCAACTCAAACAAATTAGATTTACTTCACATATCTCTTAACAAAACAAAATCTATATTATTATCACAAATTTTTTTCAATAATCAACAAATATACTCTCACAAATCTAAAGAAACAATTAGATACCTTAGTATCTACTATGATAGACAAGGATCAACAAAACTAACTCTTAAAATTATTACTAACAAAATTAATCAATTTTGCAAAATAATCAAATTCAAAAAACTCTTACTAATACAAATTACTTCATTATTCAATACTATACTAGCACTATCACTTGAATACCTACTTCAAATTATTCCTCTAAACAAACAAATACAAAAAAAACTATTAATAACAATTACAAAATATATTAAACAATTACTTAACCTCTTACTAAATACAAGTAATAATATTTTAACTAATCTACAACTACTAAATACTCCTACTTTAGAGAAGCTTTTCTTAAATACAAGTAGTAGTAACTTAGAACTAGTACTTGAATTCAGATAGAGTTATCTGAATAAGTTATCCAAATATCTGAATATCTGAATAAGGGTTTAGCTAATAGATAAGTAATCCAAATAAGTAAAATTGTAATAGATAAATTATTCAGATTATTTAGATATCTAATTATTTATTAATAATTTAATATTAGACTAACTAATTCTTAATACTGAGCCTAACTAATTCTTTATACTAGCCTAACTAATTCTTAATGCTAGCCTAACTGATTCTTAATATCAGTCTAACTAACTCTTAATATCTAATTAATTTTTAATACTAGCTAAACTAACTTTTAATATCTAGCTAGAATTGTTAACTTATATATAAGTTACATGTATTTTACTGATATAAATTTTATTTTAACATATGTAAATTACTTGTAAGTTTTAGCTATTAATGCTGATATTAATGCTAGTAGAACTTGTTATATGATTCAGTCAGCTTTAATACCTATACTATAACTTGTATAAAAGCTATATAAATTACAACAAAACTTACTACAACTTACTATGTAAATTATGTTGTTAAGTAACCCTATAACTAGTCTAATTGATTAATTTTTAATACCGGCTAAACTAATTTTTAATATTAGCTAGCTTTAGCTATATTAGCTAGCTAACTATATTTTATTAGCTAGCTTAATTAGCTTAAAACACTAATATAAATATAGATATGTATATGGTGTAAGAGGTGAAATTGCTAACCTCAATACTACACCCAGTTCAGAAAGTAATTATCAAAATTTTTGAAATTTTAAAAAACTAAGAAATTTGGAAAAATTATAAATTTCTATAAAATTAAGAAATTTGAGTATTTCAGTAAATTTATGAAGTTTTGTAAATTTAAAAAATTTTTAAAATTTATTGTATATATAAAATTATGTATATAAATGCTCACCTTTGACCTCAATAAAGGCAGTCTCTTAAAGCTCTAAACTTCAAAAACAATAAAAGTAGAAGTATTTAAGTCTAAAAAATTTCCTTGTCTATAAAAATTGTTCTTGCTATAAATTTTACCTTTTAAAATTATTATATTATAAATCATCTTGTTAGAAAATTGAATTTGTCTTGTTCCCTGATAGTTTCTTGTTAAATACTAGTTTTTAGTTATTAGAGTAAAAGTACTTAAATTGTCATATTGCATTCTCTTTTATTGTATTTTGAATTGATTAAACTATTGATTAATATCATAATTATTAAAATTGACAAACTAGTAAAATTGAAACTTTATAATATCTAAATTATAACCCAAATCATAACCAAATCATGATCAAAATGTGATACCTCAGTAATATGACTAAGTCTAATAATATTCATAAAGAAGACTACTATAGACCTAACATAATCCTAAAATCCAATTCAATAATCAAACAACTCACCCAAATAACTCTAAACTTAGACCAAGTTAATTCTCACCTTTTTCAAGTCTTTCCAACTTAGAGTTATGCTTTAGTTAGATTTTTGGATTATTTGAATAGTTAGATTAGATTAGCTAGTTATGAACCTCTGTATAACCAGACCTCCAAACAAGTTCTAACTCAGAACCAATTAAGACTTTTTCAACAGACACATCCAAATTGCATTTCTAATATGAATTTCATAATTATTATGTTGATGCATCAAAAAGTATCTTTTTTTGAGCCCAATATATCAAAAAATATAAATTTTGTATCACATGCTAAATAATATAGGATCTTCCTCTTTGCTTTAGACAATTAGATATAATGATAAACAATTAGTTGTATATAAATTTAACAAACTATAATTTTAAATTTCTTCAGGTTTCTTATATGTTAAAATTTAAATAAGATTAAAATTAATATTATAGCTGTTTTTATAAATTCTGAAACATCTGACAAAAAATAGTCTAAACAAATATTGTCAGTTCAATAAGTTTGTGATTCAGTAGTGATAAACTTTTAATTTGGATATGAAAATTCATATATAAATCAAAAGTTTATTACTGCTAAATCACAAACTTATCAAACTAGTAATATTTGTTCAGACCATTTTTTGCTAGATGTCTCAGAATTTATGAAAATAGCTGTAATATTAATCTTAATCTTATTTAAATTTTAGTTAGTAAAATTATTTTAGTAAATTTCTTAAAATATTTAAATATTTAAAATTGGCAAAATTTTAAAAATTATGTGACAAAATTTTAAATATATAAAACTATATGATTTACTACTATTATTATAATTCTTGAAATATCTGTAAAAATTTCTCTTTCCTGAAATCTTCTCAATTCTATTCTAAGAATTACTTAACTTTTTGAAAACTTTATTGCTATTCTCAAAACTTCAATCTAGAGACAGCAATAAAGTTTCCAAAAAATTAAGTAATTCTTAGGACAAGATCAAAGAGATTTTGAGAAAAAGAAATTTTGCAAATATTTCAAGAATTATGATAATAGCAGTAATAAAATTTAAAAATAGTCTGGTGATCTTAGTATAGTGGTTAGATTGTCAGACTGCTATGTAAGAGGTCTGGAGTTCAAATCCCACTATCAACAAATTTGAATAATTACCTAGATCTTAGTATTCAACTTACAGTAAACTCTGTTCATTTCTGAGGGTTGTAACTCTGTAAATCATATTGCACTAATATCAATCAGATATTAGAAGTATGATGCAATGTTTGAATTATGTTGTATAAATAAATCTTAATAGGATCTATAGACAGAGGACCTGCATAGTAGAAATCCTAAATTAGGTGAAGTAGTACAGATTTCAACAGTCACACTAGTTAATATTTGATCTAGAAAAGAAGTCTATATATGAAGGTTGCAGATCAAGTAGGTGTGAGTAAGTTCACTATGTAATATAGCCTGGTGCTTTGTATTAGCAGCAATACCAACTTGGTTTGGCAGCTAACTAGATTTGGGAGGATCTGACTTGTGAAACTTCTGAATACATAAAGGACTAATTTGGTGAAGAGCCACAGTAGGAACTAGATTTGTACAAATATCTATAAGGGTATATACTAGCTTAATTAGGATATAGTACAGCATAGTTAGAGTATTCCGCAAGCCTCTTCTGATGAAGATAAAAAGAGTACCTTGAGATAGAGCCCTTTTAATAAGGAAAACTGAGATGCAAGGTCAGTCTGAGTAGTCCTCATTAAGGCAGCACAAGATTGTGCAGGTTTAAGAATAAAAATTAGATTAGCATTAGGGATGATGAAAATACCAGAAGGTTTAAATAGAGTATTCACAAACAGATACTAGGTATAGCAATTAGTAGGTAACCTCTGAGCAGAACCTTTAAATAAACAATGATTAAAGTTATATGTGTGACTAATTGTACTCTCACTAACCAATGTAAACCTACAACCTACTTAATAAAAAATTAACTGGTATTGAAGCCTTGTTAGACCAATAAAAAAAAAAAAAAAAAAAAAAAAAAAAAAAAAAAAAAAAAAAAAAAAAAAAAAAAAAAAAAAAAAAAAAATAAAAA